GAAACACGTGTTGGAGAGAACAGTCTCACACCTGCTGTGCGCCAAACTACAGGCTTTCAACACTTCACATATCCTCCATCTCTCGCGGGTGACCCTTATCGTCAGTTTGTAACCGTCCAACTTGAAACTCAGTCGTAGTACACCCTCAACGACGACGCAACATGCCCAACGTCTCCGAAACGAAGCGCCACACGAATGTACAACAACTGTACCCACGTCCAATGCATGAGGGTGGAGTCCGGGTTGATGACCAACGATCAGGATCACCATCAGTGCCTGTACATTCCCACCGCGCGCTTAGTGCACGATCGAACATGATTGAGGCTGGTACTTTGGTGTATGCCTCACATGATCGTTCTAGCCATCGTATTTGAGATCAACCGAAAAGAGGTGGTGCTTCTTACAGTTGGCAGAACGGCTGTAGCGCTAGTATCGTTGTGACTCTAATCACAGGAAACCATTGCGAACGACAACCCACGGTGATGGAAGCTGGTACGTCGCCACCTTGAAGAAAAAATCGAGCAGGAATGCAAAGGGATGTAGGGACACCCCAATTTCCGTTGTAGTTCAAACTCTAGCTCATCTATTCACAGGTACCTCAACTTCGGGTTAGTCATTATAGGACATCAGAGAAGATGGTGTCATTGTAAAGCGCTGATAGATTGCTTCTCGCTCTAGCGCCCTGCGATTACATTGAAAGTAGCTCATTTCGTGTGGAGCTGCCACAAATACTTACATACATCCTCAGTTCAAGTCTCCGATTGAACTGGAAAGGGCAAGGTACGAATCTTGATGCGAACCTAAGAGGAGCTCCATCAAGTGCATTCACTCGGATCGTTCTTCGACAGCTGGGGTTTTCTCTTGCATGAACCATCAGCGACAGGACACATACATACGTCCGTCTGTTCTCGGCTCATCCCAAAACCGTCTACTGTTGAAGACGTCCTGTTGACATCATGAAGCCACATTCAAGGAACAAGTCGTCTATACTGAAGTGAAACGATACTCTACCACGTCACGGTGGTCCTGCCCATAGTACATCTTGTTTCGGTCATGGCACTGGCCCTGTTCCATGTTGCGGTGATTGGTCACAGGTTTTACCACGCAACACTGTCACATCAAAGGCTGTCAAGAGCGAGTAGCGCGGGGTCCAAAACAAGATTGCGCTTACTGATAAGTTTAGTGACAAATACAAATGCGGTGTCGAATAGTCTATTTGGTTGAAGCATGCCCACGAATACAATCCATACAGCTACGAGTACGGCCTGTTCTTACATTACGCGTTGTCACTATTATCGCTACGGTCAACGCCACATGCAATGAATACATGAAGACAACACTTGGCGTGCTGGAAGTACTGTAGTGAGATGCTCTTTCCGCCCATAAGCACTGTTCTTGCTAGGACATCTACCATCAAAAGCAGGGGTCGAAATGCGGACTAAGCCCATTGAAACCCCTGTCAACACCACCACAATATACCATCAGTGTAAACGCCTCTGATTGTACGTCATCAGAAGGCCAAGGTGATGCGTGTAAAGCCGATGCACTCAAACCAAGAATCATGGCGCCAATGACAGTCTCACTGATTCAGCTGCGTTACGTTTGGCTCGTTACCATTTCGTTAGTTGTACCCATCGTCATCGAGCGCGTACTACCATCCGAACACGAATTGATCCGGTGCCGAGTTTCTCTCATGTTGCAACCACTTGTAAATCGAAGCAATGTTTGAGTATTCATTAATGATGACTGAGGTGGCTTTGTTTACAAAACTCTCGATTTCGTGTTTCATCACGTCCCATAGCTAGTTCAAGCAGAGAAGTCGTCCCACAACCCTCTCCAAATGAGTCAGCTATTGCTTATTCTTCCTCCACGATGACGATTCGAATACTTGTGCTTGCGTTCTCATGGTCCCTCAGCATCAAGCATTCGAGGTACACCGCGTATCCATGCGCGCGTTGCTCTCGTCGCGAAGCACTTTGTGTAGTGATCAAGTCCATGGATTTACAGTAGAGCCATTAAGCTCGATCCATTGTTTAGAGACCAGATTTTGATTTCAAATCCCTTTCATGACCTTGTCACGAACTGCCATTAGAAAGCGAGGAAGCACAAACATGTCGGCATGTTCGCATGACTTGAGGCCACAAGCAAAATCAATCATCCGAGCGCGGCAACGCCGATATTGATCATTTTTGAATATGCCGTCAAGCAGCATCCACGTTGTGACGAGTGCAGCACGCATTCGAGAGGACTACCATCCGAAGTTGATGCGTCGAGAGTCTGTGATGCATCAGACGCAAGAAGCCGTGACCACGTCCACGAGTTTTAAGTCGCGCATGATCCAGTTCATCTTTCACAGAGGGAGGCGTGCACCCAACCAGCAACCCAAGTCTTGGTCAGGAAAAGTGGAATGCATTCTGAGGTCGGCTCACGGAACTGCAAGCTGCCCGTCCAGCAACGACATCGAATCCCGCAATAAACCTGGTCGATGCGTATCATCTGCTCCACCAACTTCCGGGCAGACGCAAGTGAAGCGAATAGCACGGCGAGGATATGCTGAGGGAGATTCTGGTCGAGCCCAATGGCGTCAGCGACAGACACACTGCGCCAACTGCGAGTTCCTTTTCTTCACGTCTCTCTCATCTCTCAGTAACGCTGCAGGTCGATTTTGCTCGCTGGATTGCAGGACCAATCTGGAGTACATGCACCAGCTCCAGGATGTGATGGATACGCAGCAGACATGGGAGGGCAGCACCAACTCTAGCGAATCGGGACACAATGAAGAGGCGGAAGAGACAACATTGAAGGGGGTCGATAGTTCGACCGTCAGGTCGTCATGTACCATCGACAGTCAAGTAGACATTGCAGGGCCACAGGACACCGCAGTAAACACTAGACTTGACGCATGATGGAGTAAGAACACGAAGAGCATTATTTATGAGAGACACGACTACTCGAAGTGAGCCTTGACGATCTCGCTGAATAACTGTACACGATGCGAGTGAAGGAGTCAAACACGAGAGTATGGCGCCGCCCTTCGTCACGACGCATATAAGATGGTGAGTGTAGAGACTACGGAGATGAACAATAGTACCACACTTGACTCTTTACGCCTGCCAGACGCGACTTTCATCACACTTCGTCAACAACCGGAGCAGACGATACAACAAATACGGAATTGTTGGCCACTCGTCATTCAGCAATTTACCAGTTGAAAGAGTGGTTGCGGCGGAACGGCAATCGCTGCCAAACAAAATCGTGACTACAGCGTCAGCACGCGCGCGTATCGATCGAAAATCCATCGAATGGATCATGCAAATGCTGGAGTATTTTGCACCGATGACGAACCAAAACTAGGACTGACGCCGATGCTACCAAGCGCATACCATTCGATGTCGTACTCTGATATTCTCTACAACCTTTCCGCTACTTCCTCGTATCTGCCGTCACTTTGCTTCGTGCTGTTTGCGTACCTTCATAACGTGGCTACGTATCGCAGGAAGAAATCACGAAGTCGGAGCGGAGCAGCTGGAAACACGTGTTGGAGAGAACAGTCTCACACCTTCTGACGCGCCAAACTACTGGCTTTCAACACTTCACATATCCTACATCTCTCGCGGGTGACCCTTATCGTCAGTTTGTAACCGTCCAACGTATTACACAGTCGTAGTACACCATCAACGACGACGCAACATGCCCGACGTCTCCGAAACAAAGCGCCACACGAATGTACAACAACTGTACCCACGTCCAATGCATGAGGGTGGTGTCCAGGTTGATGTCCAACGATCAGGATCACCATCAGTGCCTGTGAATTTCCATCCGCATGCCTGGTGCGCGATCGGAAATGATTAATGCTGGTACTTTGGTGTATGCCTCACATGACCGTTCTAGCCATCATATTTGAGATCAACCGAAAAGAGGTGTTGCTTCTTACAGTTGGCAGAACGCTGTAGCGATAGTATCATTGTGACCCTAATCACAGGAAACTACTGCGAACGACTAACAACCGTGATGGAAGCTGGTACGTCGCCACCTTGAAGAAAAACTCGAGCAGGAATGCAAAGGGATGCAGGGACACCCAAATTTCTGTCGTAGCTCAAACTCTAGCTCATCTATTCACAGGTACCTCAACTTCGGGTTAGTCATTATAGGACATCAGAGAAGATGGTGTCATTGTAAAGCGCGGATAGATTGCTACTCGCTCTAGCGCCATGCGATACATTGGAAGTAGCTCATTTCGTGTGGAGCTGCCACAAATGCTTACATACATCCTCAGTTCAAGTCTACGATTGAACTGGAAATGGCAAGGTACAAATCTTGATGCGAACCTAAGAGGAGCTCCATCCAGTGCATTCACTCGGATCGTTCTTCGACAGCTGGGGTTTTCTCTTGCATGAACCATCAGCGACAGGACACATACAGACGTCCGCCTGTTCTCGGTTGATCTGATTTAAAAGCACCTTCTTGCACGGTTTATTAAAGGGTGTTTCATGGTGTTGGTTACGGAAGAAGGTTATGGATCGCGGTTACATGATGAGATCACAAGATGTCGTTACATTAAGGCTTAGACTTAGCTAAGGGTAGTGAACTAAGAACCTTGAATATATTTACTTCGGACTTAACATTCAACACCACAACCTTCACCTCAACAGGTTAACAGCCGCAAGGGTGTTGACGTAACTACTATCGCGAGACAAGCTCAAGCCATGACCATCAAGAGCTCCGAAGTCCTCCTGGGAAGTGGTAACTACTACCACTGGGAGTACAACATGCGGATGACACTAGCCCGAAAGGGGCTACTGGCGCATGTTGAGGTCGTGAAGCCCGAGCTCGAGATCACCAAGGCGTGGCTTTTTAACGATGCAAAGGCTCTTAGGATCATCGCTTAAGGTGTGGAACTGCAGCACCAGACCAAGATAAGGTCTGCGACACGTGCTATCCATGCATGGGCTACGCTCCGAGACTTCTACAATCGCTCTACACTCCAGAACCGTGTGAACATGACGCACCGTCTGCACCAGCTCAAGATGGAGAGCGTTTCGACTATGGCCAAGCATCTGGACGATTTCGACGAGCTTATCGTCGGATTGAAGACACTGGAAGAGCCCGTCGATGAAGCTCGACAGCTGGAAGTGCTAGTAAGCACTTCGTTCTGAGTATGAACTAATTTCAGCAATCGTGGAGAACGCCAAGGATGCGTCTCTGATCGAGGTGAAAGAAAAGTTGCTCAAGGAATACGAGCGACTAGAAAAGAAGGAGACCACCATAGAGATAGCGTTTCGAGCTAACGGGAATGCTGGAAGGTTCAAGGGGGCCGAGGACACGGTTGAAAGGGGATCTCTTCAAGAAAGAATGGTGGTGGATACAATGGAAAGTGGTTTGAGTGTGGCCAAGTTGGTCATATTGTAACAGGGTGAATCGTTACAATAACAATTTGTAAGAACTTGTTAATAGAATATAACTATAAGAGTTATATCCTCAGAATATTGTCATAAGGACAAATATTCTGTAGCACTTCCAAGTAGTTCGTAATTGGTTGATATAGGCCATTATATCAACCAACGAAGACGCGCCACGACAGACGCACGCAATGAGTGGTGAGCAGATAGTTGATTTACACATTTGTATTCAGACATAGTTAGATGAAGATAAATAGTGATTTATTGCAGACATTAACTATTATAAATACAGTTCTACTTTTTACTTTAACCAAGTACTCGCTTCTTCTTACCGTCTTCCACTGCACGTACGAGTGTACGTGAAGTTACGAGGCACCGCCTTATTCTGTCATCAGAATAAGTAGCTTGTACTGTCACCAGTACAAGCTTCAGGGTGCCCCGTTACACCTTGTAGCACTTCGTAGTCCGTCCAAGGACCACGTTCACATCTAACATTAATATGTTGGATGATGAAGATGAACAAAGCTTTCACGCTACGCGTGACGGCTACTCCCATTTGAGCGATGTCGAATGGGATGCGGTTTAACGAATGGGTTCAACCATGGACATCCATGCTGTTAGCGTCATGCTAGAGGCTCTCAATAGAGATGCCCAACATGCTACTATCGCCAAGTTCATTCAAAATGAACTTGACGCCGAACGCGAGAAAGTAGCCTTGCTTCACCAACAAGGTTCTCAACAAGCAGAGTTGTTGAGAGAACAAGGTGCTCAACAGTTTGAACTGTTGAGACAGCAGCAGGCTGCTGCTGGTGGGTCGATGCACTCGCGTCGACCCGAAACCTTGAAGATTGACATATCCAAGTATAGGGGAGTCGAAGAGGACTCCCTCTTGAGATGGTTCGTCGAATTGGATGACGCCATAAGGGCGTGTCGCATCGACGACGGGGATATGCAAGTTGCATTTGCCCAGTCAAATCTGGCAGGACGTGCCAAGACTTGGGCACTGGGGCTCAAGTTGCACGACCCATATGCGTTTGGGTCGTGAGAAGTCTTCAAGTCGCGGCTCAGACAAATGTTTGAACCGCCTAGAGCTGCGTTCAGAGCTCGAACTGAACTCTTGAAGCTCAACCAGGGTAAGCGTGATGTGCACGCTTACGCGCAACATATACGACATCTTACGAGTTGTATAAGTTCCAACCCGGTTGATGAAAACACGTTGGTTTCGGTGTTCATGCAGGCTCTTGCGGATGGTCCCGTCAAGACTCACCTGTTCCGGCTTGAACTAGATTCACTAGAACAAGCCATTTCCATTGCGGAGCAGGAAGACTTCAGTCTGAGACAGGCTCGCGCCAGCTCGACATCATATCGTCAACCTAGACGACATGACAACGGAGGTCCAGAGCCGATGGAACTCTGTTATGTAGAGAGCGAGAAGGCTCGCTCTACAGACTACAAGAAGTTGCAGAAATGCAATAGTTGTCAAAAGACAGGACACTACGCTTACGAGTGTAGTGCCCCTCGTCCAGTGTCTCGCAACACTGGGCGTAGTGACCGTCCACCCATGAGAAAGGGGCAGGGACGCGGGTCCGCTGTTGGTGCAAAGGCGCAACAACGGGATGGACCGTCAAAAAACGGTCAGGATCAGTAGGTGTGGAGCACCCTACTGGTCCAGCAACGTCAAGAGAATTTGTAGGCCTCTTGATGAAGGTTTCTCCCAACACACAAACGTTGTGCGTTGCTGCTCCAGGTAATGAGATCTCACTCATTACCTTGAAACTCGAAGTGACGAATAAGTTGTCCCTTCGATCTCTAGTTGATTGTGGGGCGTCCAACAATTTTGTGCGACGCCAATCGCTAGAAGATGGTCACTTCAAGTTTGTTGAATGTGACACACCTACTACGAGGATGACGGTACGTCTTGCGACAGGCGCATCCGTGACCGTCATGAAGCGTATAGTGAAGATCCACTATACGCTAGAAGACACCCAATATGACGATGACTTTATCGAATTGGTTTAGGATGAAAAATTTGATGTCACCCTTGGAATACCGTGGCTCAGAAGGTACGAACCACGGGTAAACTGGCAACATCGAACAGTAACGATGCCTGCCGCTTGTTCATCAGATGGCCATCTGTTGAACGTTTTGGAGCGTCCACAAGCGTGTGGATGTACTACGAGTGAGTGCGATGGCCTCACTTGTGGTACGGTCGTTAGTACGACTGCACAAAACCTTAGTGTAACAAACAGTTACACTTCGGAGCAAAGTTCCGGCGGCTGTGAGGAAACACAGGCTGCGCCGAAGGTCCACCACTCGAATAAGTCGAGTGGACCGGACAAAGATGTATCCCTAGCGGGGAACATCTAGAAGAGAAACAATCGATCGCTCAGGTTAAGCGAAACGATAATCCTGGATCGACTGGAGATTCTTTCGTAGAGGATCTCGCTGTGGTTGCGTAACCCCAGCCAGAGGAAGTAAAGGGAATAAGTCCCAAGATTACAGATACGGTGGAAATAAGTTCCCCGAAATCCGAGGGAATAAGTCCCCGGGAAGCCGAAGGAATAAGTCCTTCGAGGCCTGAGGGAATAAGTCCCCAGGAAATGACAGAGACATTGAATGTCATAGTCAATAACGGATCAAGTGTGGGCGCTCATACACTTGATCGGATTGCGCCTCCGAAGTTGACTTCGGAGATCACTCAGTTGCCAACGCTCGAACATAAAAGGTTCTTGCGTGATCTGCGTAGTGGCAAAGTCAAGCAGATCTGCGTACTCGTCGCTGACGACTAGTGTGTAGCCGACATAAGGTCAGCAACAGTGTTTACTGAGAACGAGAGAGTTCTCATTAGTTCATATATGGACGAGAGCGTCCTGGATGGAAAAAAAGACACGAGTTGAGCGACATGACTCCCAATCGTGGGAATCGCTCAAGACAAATCCTTTCTATGAAGATTTGGTAGAATTCAAGGATGTATTCCCTGAAGCTGTTCCGTGCGAATTACCGAAGGATAAAGGTATTCGACACGAGGTCGAGCTTAAACCAGGCTCGAAGTACTGTGTCATGAAGCAGTGGCCACTGCCTCGTGAACAAGTACTTGCGATCGACAAGTTCTTTGCCGATCGTTTAGCTGCGGGCCATGTGAGGGAATCAACTTCCCCACATAGCTCTCCGACCTTCTGTGTGCGAAAAGCAACAGGAGGGTGGCGGATAGTGCATGTATTTAACAAGTTGAATGCTGCAACGGTACCGGCTCAGACGCCGATACCGAGGAAGGACGTAATCATTGATGGTATGTCAAAGAGTACCATCTTTTCGTCCATGGATTTGATGGATGGCTTCTATCAAATCCTTATGCGAGAACGGGATATACCCTATACCGCAGTGAGCACGCCTAGCGGTATGCTCTGGGAATGGCTAGTAATGCCACAAGGGCTTAGTAATGCCCCTGCCACGTTCAACAGATGTGCATCACATCTGTTTAGACCGTACGAGAATTCGCGCCGAATATTCGATGACGTATTCATCCATAGTCGAGCTATGGATGGAAAGTCGGACGTTGAGGTCCACAGGTACCACGTCCGACAGGTTCTTACAATCATGCGAAAGCATCAATTGTATGCAAACCTCAAGAAGTGTATATTTGCAGCAAGCGAAATACCACTTCTTGGGTGCATCGTTGGTAAGAACGTTGTACGTCCTGATCCCGAAAAGATCAAGGCGATCACCGACTGGCCTGTGCCGGTTGATGTCAAAGGTCTTCGAAAATTCCTTGGGCTAGCGGCGTATTTGCATGAGTATTCACGCAATTACGCCGAGATGACTGTGCACCTCTCTCGTTTGTTGAAAAAGAACGAGAGGTGGTTATGGAACGCTGAATGTCAGCGCTCCTTTGATGGTATCAAGCAGAGCTTGATACAATCCCCATTCCTAGCAATAGACGATCAAGACGGGCCATTTCATGTGGTCTGTGATGCCAGCGATTTTGCAATCGGCTGTGCATTAATGCAGTACGATCTTGAAGGCGTTGAACGCGTCGTCTTCTATCAGTCGCGTCAGCTGCAACCAGCTGAGCGGAACTATCCAGTGCATGACAAGGAACTCCTTGCCATGAAGTATGCACTCGCTAAGTTCAGAGTCTATCTCTTAGGAGATAGACCCTTCACTGTTTACACTGACCATGCGTCATTACGCACGGCAGTGAACAGCCCGCACCTTTCACAACGAATGGCGCGGTGGTTGTCATTCTTTGCGGAATACAACTTTACGGTCGAGTACAAACCAGGACGACTTAATGTCGTTGCTGATGCACTCTAACGTCGTCCCGACTTTGAAACAGTCGCGAAACCCAACAGTGATACAGTCACTGTTGCGGTTATGACGTCCTCAGTCCCATCTACAACGTTGTATGATGATGTGAGGCGGGCATACGCCCAAGATGGTGAGATTGTGAAGTTGTTGACACATCTCTCCCAACCATCTCGAGAATCGCTGAAACGATTGTCGCCTGCGTATCGATCTGCATCAGATCGATACACTACTCGTAACGGTTTACTGTACTATACAGCCGTCTCTGGTGACACACCACGTGTTGTCATTCCAGATGATACTGATCTGCGTTTGCGGATCATGTTCTAGTATCACGATACTCCTATAGGAGGACATCATGGCCGAGAGAAAACATGTCTCACGGTCAGTCGAGACTTTTACTAGCCCCGCCAGTATCAGTTTGTGCGAAAGTATGTTCGCGCATGCGAAGTCTGCCAACGAGTGAAGTCAAGTCCTTCACTGCGTGCACCTTTACAGCCTCTACTGGTTCCGGCTGAGTGCTGGGAATCCATCTCAATGGATTTCGTCTTCGGGTTACCCAAAGACGCACGCGGGAATACGGGTATTCTCGTATTTGTTGACAGATTCAGCAAAATGGTACACATTGTGGCTGTACCAGAAACAATCACGGCAAGTGGCTGTGCTTGTGTCTTTATTGACACCATCTTTCGACATCATGGGTTGCCCCGTGAACTCGTATCAGACAGAGATCCACGATTCACTGCTGATTTCTGGCGTTCCGTGTTCAAATCACTCGGAAGGCGCTTGAAGATGTCGACATCTGATCATCCAGAGTCAGATGGTCAGACGGAACGTGCCAATCGTGTCCTTGAAGAGATACTTCGAGGATACGTACACTCCTTTAAGAGTTGGAGTGAGTTTTTGCCAATGGTAGAGTTTGCCATTAACAACTCGGTGCATGCGTCCAAGACACATACCCCGTTTTACGTGAATGGCTTGCGCCATCCGCGTGTACCCACCCTACTCGAATGTAACTCTGGTTTGAGGGGGGGGGAGACTCGCGCGAGCAAAAACCAATTTGGTTCACGCTCATCACGCTCTGACGAAGAGGTCATTGCGTTTGATGCCGATATCGATAACATCGATATCGAAGAATATGATGCCAGTGAGAGTGCGGAAGCCCTCACTGAAGAAGATGATGCCAGTGAGAGTGCGGAAGCCCTCACTGAAGAAGATGATGCCAGTGAGAGTGCGGAAGCCCTCACTGAAGAAAAGGTTGATGTTGCTGCAGTGCGCTCACTGCGCACTGAAGCTAACGAGTCATCAGATGAGTTCATACTGGCTCGTGAAACGGTAGTCTGTTTTGTGCAAGACTCCATCGCCGAAGCGGTGGATAAGCAAAAGCAAAACGCTGACAAGAATGGAAGGGCAAACACTATTTTATTTAATAAAGGTGACTTAGTCCTACTGTCTACGGTTAATCTACCAAAGCATGTAGTGACTAACTTGGGTAGCAGTAAACTACTACCCAAGTACATTGGCCCATTTCATGTATTGCACCGCCTAGGCAATGCATACACGATCGAGTTACCACGTAAGATGCGAACGCATCCCACATTTTAGGCTGGTCGGCTTAAGCCGTACCATCAGTACGCTGCTTCTTCCGATGAAGAACGCCCTTGCGCTCAAGCATCTCGCAGAGAGCCTTGTGCTCCCGATGGTGGGCATCGACAAGGGTCTGAAGAGCAGTTATCTCATCCCGAGACCGATCAACAATCCCACGAGCTACCCTTAGCTCGTCACGAAGAGAAATCAGAGATCTATCGTTCTCAAGCTGAGCAAAGGCAAACTCAGCTCGATGCTTCGAGACAGTGTCCGCCATTTGGAGACGCCTATCCCGCTCATGTTCGAGATCGTTGCGTAACCCTTGCGTTACGCGATCAAAGAAGCTCTAGGGAACACACGCTTCCCCACGATTGTGTGGAGAGCGTCTTTCCTCCTCCTCCACCTCCATTAGAGGACTCTCGCGGTGGCCAGCGCTATCTAGTTGAGCAGCTGTTGAACCACCGCGACGTGAACGGACGTCGGACGAGTTACCTCGTCCGGTGGCGCGGCTATCCCCCGTCCTGGGATTCTTGGGAGCCCCGCTCCCAACTGATGATCGACGTACTGGGTCTGGTTGAGCAGTACGACGCGGCACATCCTGTGCCGCAGAAGGACCGCCGGAGAAAGTCTTCCCGGCACGGTCGTAAAGGGATTTCAGGTTGTCAATCCCTTCGTACATCTCAATAGAGATACGTACGCGCCACCACGGGCTATTAGGGAGTTAAGCCTCCTTAGGTGCTCGTGCAGAGTTGTTCACACAACATGGGCACGAGTCTCCCCATGAGAGGCAGGGTAATCCCTTCTCCCTTGACAGACGATGCAGCTTGTAGCGTGCACCTGTCGGGGTTCGCTTTTCAAACTTATCACGAGCTTTGATAAGTCTGTCGTTCTAAGCGTCACGACCTACATCCTCAAGGATATGGATGTAGGCGTTCCACGCCTGAAGCAGTGAGGGACCATCACGCTTGTGATTCCCACTGTACCATCGATGTCTAAAGAAAGCATCGATGAAAAACTCATTTTCAGCGCGATAGTTTTTCGCGCTGGGGTCAAGGTGATGGATCCTTGATGAATCGAACAATCGTGTTCGATAGCGATCACTTGTCATCGCCGACAAGCGATCCATGACAGACTTTGGAGGCAGCCATGCCTTCTTCTCGGGAGTGAGACGCAACACGTTGCGGTCCCGCTCTTCCTGCGACGTGCCGACAGAAGTACTGGCACCTCGGTGCGAAGTGGTGTCCATAGGAGAACCGACACCACTGTTAGCGCCCGAGTCTCGCGACCTCGAGCGCCTTCGCTTCGGCGATGATTCCTCTGATTTGTCAGATGAACCAAAGATGCTACGACGCATAGCATCATCAATGCCACGCTTGGCAGGCGGCTTGGTTTCGATCGCCTTCGATACAGATTCCTCTTCCGTATCAGGGGAGTATGAGACACCGAGCTCATACTCTGTGAAGACATGAGCGTCTTCATGACTAGCGCCTGCATCACCAGGTGACACAGGCTGAGTCGCTTCAGCAACCGATGAGACATCAGTTGCTGTGGTTTCTGCTTCGGCGTCCGCACAGAGACGTGCGGACGCGCTCTCGGCGGCCTTGCTCGCGCATCGCATGGGCTTGTTAACCATGCGATGAACTGTTGGAAAGTGGACTCGGACCAACAAGTGCAAACCCCGTCCCAAATGATTTGGGACGAGTATCCATTTAGTCAATCAGTCACTAAAGTGACTGATGGTTAAGGGGGGGTGATGTAACGGGGTGAATAATTACATAACAATTTATAAGAAATTGTTAATAGAATATAACTATAAGAGTTATATTCTCAGAATATTGTCATAAGGACAATATTCTGTAGCACTTCCAAGTAGTTCGTAATTGGTTGATATAGGCCATTATATCAACCAACGAAGACGCGCCACGACAGACGCACGCAATGAGTGGTGAGCAGATAATTGATTTACACATTTGTATTCAGACATAGTTAGATGAAGATAAATAGTGATTTATTGCAGACATTAACTATTATAAATACAGTTCTACTTTTTACTCTAACCAAGTACTCGCTTCTTCTTACCGTCTTCCACTGCACGTACGAGTGTACGTGAAGTTACGAGGCACCGCCTTATTCTGTCATCAGAATAAGTAGCTTGTACTGTCACCAGTACAAGCTTCAGGGTGCCAGGTTACACATATGAAGCGGGACTGTCCTGTGCAGAAAGGCGACAGTGCGAATGATGCAGTTTTTTCTGTGAGCGAGAAACGACTCGACGGTTGGCTGATTGACAGTGGAGCTACATCGCATATGACTCCGCATCGTTCCGACTTGTTCGACTACGAGATCCTGAACGATGGCATTGGTGTAACGATTGCCGATGGCAAGAAGCTACGCGTCCATGAAAAAGGAACAGTGAGGCTGACTGGTGTGAACAGTCGAAGAATCAAGATGATGAATGTATTGCACATTCCAGGACTTGACCGTCGTCTATTATCAGTTGGAAGACTCGCTGAACACGGTCTAAGTGTCAACTTTGAGCGTTTTTAGTGCATCATTTGGGACGACAGAAGTGCAATTGTTATGGGAAAGAAGTGCAATTGCAGTAGGAAAGAAGATGGGCAAAGCGTTCATGCTGGACTGTCAGCAGGAGGGAGCAAGAGTTGTGCAGTACTCGGGAGCAGACAGTAAACGGGAGCTACGGCACGCTCGCTTGGGACACTCAAGTAAGGACGCACTGACCAAGACACAGTGTAGCACTGAAGGAATTCCTGCGGTAGAGCAAGGTATCGAGACGCTATGCGGAGGCTGCATGAAAGGAAAACAAACCGTAGCCTCTTTTCCATCAAGAACACTGTCAAAAACATCAATAGTATTGGAACTGGTCCATACCGATGTTATGGGATTAATGCGAACAATTTTAAAAGGTGGTGCCAAGTATGTGCTTACAATCGTGGACGATTACTCGCGGTACGTTGTGGCGTATTTCATGAAAAACAAGAGGGGAGTTGCCGGTAAGCTGAAAGAGTATCAAGCGCTGTATGGAAATCAGTGGGGAGAGCGCATGAAGTGTACTAAGGTCAGACAATGGAACGGAGTTTGTGAACAACACCGTGCTGAGATGTGCATGCGAAAAGGAATCATGCATCAGCGATCTGTCCCGTATACACCTTAACAAAATGGAGTGGCTGAGCGAATGAATCGCACAATCATGGAGAAGGCTCGTAGCATGCTACACTACCAGGGTGTTAGTATGGAAAGGTGGGCAGAGGCTGTGAGCACAGCAGCATGCTTGATCAACCGTTTTACTAACACAGCATGCTCAAACTCGACTCCATTTCAGTTGGCCTACGATAAGAAGCCTCGTCTGGACCATTTGCGCGTATTTGGGTTGCAAAAGTACGCCCACATTGAAGATGTGAAGCGGAAAAAGCTCGATTCCAAGAGCTTTTGCTGTATGATTCTAGGGTATGCTGAAAATGTTAAGGGATATCGTCTCTATGGCTTGGACAATCTTAAGATCAAGACATCACGTTCTGTCAACCTGGACGAGCGTGAGGTTGCCGGTATATACGACACGCGGTCGCCGCAGCTTGAAACAATCGTCCGTGTGCCCGCTGAACATGATGATGAAAATCTCTCACCTGTGGAGATAGAGCAATTAACGGACGAGCCCATGGAAGTCGATGAAGACCCTGGGCTGGATGTAAAGATTGATGGGTTGGATGAGATGGAACATGAGCAGAAGGTCAATTATCCTCGACTCCGGTCATCAGGACCTACACCAGTTGAGCATGAACTGACCGAATGTTCTCCTTCGCAGCCAGTTTTCGAAGAAGACCGGTTGGTGTTTCACCCTGAGACAACATTCTCAAGGCGATCCTGGGAGCCAGCATTGCTACTCGAGGACGAGAAATATGATGACGAAACACATCAGTCAGAATGGAGTGATGGACCACCATCACCAAAGCGTGCCAGAATCGACGATGAAGGGTTGCTGGCTGAGGAAGTATTCACATATGCTGCAAATTTTGACGGCATTCCAGACACACCAAACACGTATGCAGAATCCACTGCTAGTGGTGAAGCAGATAGATGGAGTAAGGCTATTGATGCAGAGCTTCATTCTCATGCCCAAAATCACACGTGGACCCTCATTCCACGTAAAACGAACATCCGGTCGATTGGGTGCCGTTGGGATTTCGCTAAGAAGCGGGATGAGAGCGGTCAAGTGATTAGATACAAGGCTAGACTGGTGGCTCAAGGGTTTAAGCAAGAGTTTGGGGTCGACTTCTTCGAAACAAACTCGCCAATGGCCAACATGAACTCAATTCGAGTTGTGCTTGCTGTGTGTGCGGAACATGCCTACATGATAGAGCACCTGGACGCTGATACAGAGTTTCTGAACAGTACGTATGTGGAAAGCGTCTACATGGAAGCTCCATGTGGTGCGAAGAACGCTAAGGGCATGATATGCAAGCTGAACAAAGCTATCTATGGGCGGAAACAGGCAGAAAGCGCTTGGAACAAAGCAATTTGTAATGTGTTCCTGCTTGACGACTTCAAAAGCTGCGGTGCCAATCAATGCATTTACGTAAAGCGTGCTCGAAATGGCTTCGTTTATGTGTGCCTTTACGTAGACGACATGATTATTGCGGCAAAACAAGCGTTGAGTTTGAAAAGACAAGAAGACGCTCAAAAACGCGTTCAGGATGAAGGAGCTGGGTGCAGCAAAGTTCATTCTGGGTACGGAGATCAATCACGACATAAACGCCGGTGCGCTCATGATAAGGCAAACTCGGTACATAGACGACGTGGTGAAACGTTTTAACCAGCAGAACGCGAAGATGATTGAAAATCCATGCACTTCGAACCTGAAGCTGTCGAAATTGTTGTCGCCAACTACGGAAGAGGGACGTGCTGAAATGAGGTCAAAACCCTATCGCTCGTTGATCGGATGCCTGATGAATATCACGACATGCACCCGACCAGACATCGCGTATGTAGTTACGCAATTGTCGCGTTTTCTCGAAAACTCTGGAGTTCAACACTGGAAAGCAGCCATTCGTGTGCTTCAATACCTCAAGTCGACTAGCAAACATGGTATTGTGTACCAAGGCGGTTTCGGTAGCGTCACTGCCGAAGCATACACGGATGCTGATTGGGATAGCAACACTGATGACCGACGCTCAGTGTCAGGTGCCATGGTGATGACTGGAAAAGCTCCAGTGGTATTCAAGTCGAAATACCAGAGAACAGTTGCTCTCAGCTCAGCCGAAGCTGAATATATGGCGCTAAGCCTTTGCACTCAAGAAGTACTTTGTGTGCGGTCGATGATTATGGACATGGGTAAATAGCAAGAAGGAGGAACACTCGTCTGGGAAGACAATCAAAGTGCCATTGCATTGGCTTGTAATGCTGGGTATCATGCACGAACGAAGCACGTCGACATACATCACCACTTTTTTCGCGAGAACGTGGAATGCAGATCGCTTAAGGTGGATTACATTGAAACGAAGCATCAATCAGCGGACATGCTGACCAAGGGACTTGGAACGAAGACTCTTAAGTTCCTGCGTGAAGCAACTGGCATTAACGACAAATTCACCGTGCCAAAGCTGTGAATGGGAGTGTTTTAGTAGCAAAGCTCTTGCACGGTTTATCAAAGGGTGTTTCATGGTGTTGGTTACGGAAGAAGGTAATGGATCGCGGATACATGATGAGATCACAAGATGTCGTTACATTAAGGCTTAGACTTAGCCAAGGGTAGTGAACTAAGGACCTTGAATATATTTACTTCGGAATTAACATTCAACACCACAACCTTCATCTCAACAGGTTAACAGCCGTTTCATGTTAAGTGTCACCGCTTTAACAAGATCGGACACAAGCAGTTTGAGTGCCAATCGGCCACCAGGATTAATATAAATGAAATGGCATTCACGAACCAATACGGATTAAAGGAGTGATAATTGTTGGACAGCGGCGCCTCGTCACATTTGACCCCAACCATAGAAGATTCCTTTAAGTACGAGAAATTGAGAGAAGCCAATTAAGTTCGCGTTGCCGACGGTGCGGTCATGAATGCAATTGGACGAGAGAGCATTTGAATTCGCTGAAAGCATGGTACAGCAGTGACTGTAAATTAAGTATTGCACATTTTAACGCTGGACAGACGACTACTAGCGGTGCCGAAGATTGTACAGCGTGAGTACACCGTTCGATTTGGCGAAAAATACTGTGGGATCTACAAGGAAAATGTGCTGATGATTTCAGCGAAGCGCATGGGAAGCGTATAAACTCCTGATGTGGAGTATGAGCACGCGATGTTGGTAGAACACGAAGACGTTGGTAACAAGTGGGAGCTGTGGCATGCAAGCATGGGTCACATTAGCCGCAACATTTTCAAAATGACATAGGAGGCTACGGAAGGACTGCCGAACATCATTCCTGACACGAACAAGAATTTGTGCGGAGGATGTCTACAAGGAATATTGCGTCGCGAGCTTTCCACAAGAGTCGAAGACAAAGACAAAGCAGCCACTGCAGCTTTTTCACTCTGACGTCATGGGCCCTGTGAAGACTCCAACTCCTGGTGGGTCTCGATTCGTATTGTCATTCGTGGACGATTTCTAAAGATTTGTGACTGTCTATTTTTTGAACTCCAAGAGTGTAGTACCGTCGAAGTTTATCGAGTTTAGGATCGAAAAAGAACCGCAGTGTGGATTTCGTAATAAGGCCATACGTACTGACAATGGCGGTGAATAAATAACAAGAGGTTTGATTCGTACTGCAAGAAGAACGGCATCATTCATCAGAAGACAGTACCATACAGTCCTCAACAAAACGGTGTCGCAGAAAAATGAACCGCATGATTGTTGAGACGGCCAGAAGCGTGATGCATTAGAATCGTGATGGATTACAAGCGTGTGGCTAAGCAGTGGTGGGCCGAAGCTGTAAATACGGCAGTGTATTTAATCAACAGAACCACGAACAGCAATCACGAGGCGGAGACTCCATTTGAATTGTATTTTAAGACAAAGCCGCATGTTTCTCACCTACGTGTAATTAGTTCACTTGGTAACGCCCGTATCGATGAATCAAAGCACACGAACTTCGACTCGAAATGGTTCTGCTGCAGGCTGCTGGGATATGCAAGAAACACCAAGGGCAACAAGGTGCTTGATTTTATGACCGGTACGATCAAGAACAGTCGTTCGATCGCGTTTTATGAACGTGAAGTCAGCAACATTTACGAGGACGATCCGGTTGATTTACACCCGAGGACGATAATAATACGACAAGATGACGATGGTGGAGATCAACCAGTTAACTCGCAACAAGATGGCGATGAAGATGTTGAAATGGAAGATCACGAAATTGTCGAAGATGTGGAGATGGAGGTACCAAGTTTTGACAATAGCATCAGTGACACATCTTCGAGTCAGACAAGCAATCTTTATATTGCTGGAAGCATGAACACCGAGCAACATCAACACAACTCGCAGGTGTTCCAACAAGGATCTCGTCACCAAGAACTCGAATTGCACAATTCGCACGACTCTGGTGCGATGTTGTTCTGCTTACAACTTAAGCGTCGTTCCCTTCGCAAGCATCATAATCGTGTTCTTACTGACGATGCCAATGGGAGAAGTGGATCCGGACCACGAGAAGGTGTGGATGAAGTGTTATTAATTGAGCAATCTGTTCAACTCTTGCTGGAAGACAAAGACGCCGGTACAGAAAACAGCATTGTGCCATACAATGAAAATCATGAATCCGGTGGGAGTGACAATGACGAACCTCCTTCCGAGCGATAGCAAATAGACGGCGATGTGGTGTCGATAGCAGAGGTTGCCATGGTAGCTCGTGATGTATATAGCTCTTATGCGGAGGCACTGAATGGACCTGA